CGATGGATGAATAGAACTATTTTAGATGTTTTGATATCTGAATTTAGTATGTATGATGAAGATTATTATATTGAAGCAATTAGATTGGGTGTTATAAGAATTAACAAACAAAAATGTTCTATTGATCATATATTAAAGGGAAAAGAATTGATGACACACACTATTCATTTACATGAACCAGATCAGCCAAAAATTGAAGTAATAGCAGATGAGGGTAGTTATATTGTTGTTAACAAACCTAGTGGTATTCCTTGCCATCCAGTGGGTGCTTATAACCACTATTCTTTAACTAAAACTTTGTTTGGTAATAAAAAAGTGGGATGTGTTAATAGAATTGATTTGCCTACATCTGGTGTAGTGATTGTTGCTTTAAAAAATAGAGAAAAATTACACAAACGTTTAAAAAATTCATCAAAGATTTACTTGGCCAAAGTTGAAGGTGATTTTTTAGATCATATTGAGGTAGATAAGCCTATATTGGAAGGTAAGGGAACAACTATAGGTTGTGTTAGTGAAACAGGTAAAGCATCTAAGACTGTGTTTAAAAAAGTTAAATATAAAGACGGATATTCAATAATTGAATGTCATTTACATTCAGGTAGAACCCATCAAATTAGAATTCATTTAAACTATTTAGGTTATCCAATTGTAAATGATTTTATTTATGGAAAAGAAAAAAGTCCAATGACTTACAAGACAAGAGAATATTGTGATGTTAACACTGATAACTATGAAAATAAAGAGGCATATGAATTTATGCTTAATAATTGTTATGGTGAAAATAATAGAACATTTTTACTAAAAGATAAGTTTATATGCTTACATGCCTGGAAATATACTTTTAATGAAAAAGTTTATGAAGCTTCTTTACCAGAATGGGCAAAAAAATTTGAATAAAATAGATTCCCCTATTTTATGAGTAAACTTTTTAGATTAGAAGATTTTTCTAATGAAATTTGTAAGAGAGGCCAAACAGGTAAGAAATTAATTTCTAACAAAATGATATGTCAAGCAACCTCCCTTTATAGTTCTGGTTCTTTTGAACAAGCATTAACGATACTTAAGAGTGCAGCAATAGTTGATCCTTCAAATCATGAAATTTACTATTTAACAGGACTGATACATGAAGATATGAATAATTATGAGAAAGCTTTAAATGCTTATTTCTTATCTGGGTTACTAGCTAATTCTACTAAGAATGTACAAGAAAAAACAATTTGGAATCGTGTTTATAACATTTCAAAACATTTAAAGGATGATGAGAAGATGATGAGTGCATTGGATAAAGTTACTAATGGACAAGATTCATTTGATACATTAAAATTAAAGATGAAATTTTATGTCGATCAAAATTTTGTGCCAGGAATTATTTCCACAGAAATTGATATGATGAAATATGAGGGTGTTAACATTGAGATATTCACTAAAATAGATTTAAACATTAAACAGAGATATAGACAAAGAGTATTTAAACATTTATTTAATTTGATTAAAATTAAAGGAGAAATAATAGGAGAGGAGTTTATTATTAAATCAATTCATTTTGGATATAAAGCTAAATCATTTCAAAGAGTTTTAATTCTTTATGAAAACTTTTATAAAAAACTTATAAACATCGTAAATATTGATGTTTTAATAATTTATATTCATTCATTTATTGCTGTAGGTTCTCTGTCAAAACCAGAAAAGGTATATTTAATTAATGAAGATTATTTAGATGATAGTGTTTCTGGTGAGATTGAACAAATTA